TGACATTTTCAATTCTAACCCTGAAGCAGTATTTTATTCAGTCCTGAGAATAATTGAGCGTCTGATTCATTCAAGTATGGATAAATTCACGTGGAGCTCAGCTCAAGGCAGCAACACAGGTGTCGAGGTGGCAAGGTGTTTTATGTTCAGCAAAGAATAGATAGGGCTCGAGGTACACTGTTCCTGTTGTTTTTTTTTGAGCAAAGAGAACTCTGCTGGAGGCACGTCACCAAGTTTAATTTAGAAATTTAATTTCCACACACAAAAGAGGTCAGACAAGGAGGAACAAAGTGACAGAAGCAGCAGGCAAGGTACTTGTCATTTCTTCCAAATAGCTTTTAATGAGAAGAAACCTTTCAGCCAAGGAGTGTCGAGAGATAGAGTATTTTCCTCCTGTTAGTTGTAAAGTTATCAGCACCGCCCACAGAGTGTTATTGTCGGCCTGCTGGTCGACGCGTACACGGGTCCGAGACCGAGCCAAAGCTACCTCAGTCGGAAGTACTAAATGGACCCTCCGGTGCATAATAGACCAGGCCATTTTAAATGGAGATCACTGGGCTGTGGTCGACTGGCTGTATACCCACAACTCTGGGGGCCAATTCAAAACGGTTGCATTGTTGGAAATGATCCACCGTGACACAGCTTTGTGACTGATTGTAATTGCCAATTGAAGTCATCTTACAGACTGAACCACAATCTTTGGCCAAGATTGTGTGGTATTTATCCACATCAACTCATCATTAATTGTTGATTTAACTGGGTGCTTACAACCAATGTAATTACTTGCATGCAAAAGCACAGTAGTTGTTTTCCTCCCATGTTAGTGGCAAATTATGTTAATACGATGATTTAGAAATGTTGTATTCCATTGTGGAACGTGCCTCTTCCCCCAACAAGAATCATCTAATTTCTTTCCAATTCCGTTGTCATACCCTTAAACTTTCCCCAAAATATTCCCCAGTAGTAGGATCAATTATTTTACCGAGTGTTTACCAACATCCTTTACATTGTCCTTCTCCCTGAGCGAAAGGGCGAGTGATTATTGAAGTCCCCCTCATGGTTAAACGTTGAATTATTCTTGCCAGGCAGCTTTATGCTCCCTGTCCTGCTCAGCACTCGGCAGGGGGAAATACAGAGAGAGAAGAGGACACGGCCATGGCAGGAATAAAAAAAAAAAATTAAAAAAAACAGTCCTTTTGATTTTGGTCTCTCTTGGGCTGCCTCTGGGTTTGGAAGAGATTCGGTTCAGTGCTGAGCGCTGCAGCTTCTGCAGAGAAGGGACCGTGTCATAACTGGTTACAGTCTCGATAAGTAGACACCGCCGGCTTTCTGGCTGGCTGATCTGAAGCCAGCTGCTTGGGTACCACCCCGACCTTTAACAATACAGCATTTAAGCATACCTCGGACATTGCAAAAGTTTCTCACTGTATAGTTCATACTACAAGCTTTCAATTCTTTTGATGGACTCCATTTTTGCACAAACGCCTCAATTTGACAGCCAGGGCAATGGGATCATGCGGCCGGCTTTGGTGATGAATAGAGACTGAATAGACCGCCCCGTTTCTTTGGAAATTCAAATTTAGAGATGGGTTCCTGGAGATTCAGTGGTGGGCTAAGCTAGTCGAGACCAAAACTCTGCAACACAAAAAGGTTTTTAGTCCTGCTCGCAGGTAATTTTTCGGTAGATCAAACACATTCATCACATAGTTCTTAAACTGTGCAGAGGCCAGTCTCCTAGATAAAACTGTTACTCCGGAAGTCATTTCTAAAAAGCTGACATTTGAAGAACGCAGTTTTCACCTGACAGTGGTGTTTTCCTGCGGCCTCCCTCGTCTGTTTTAAGGACCTTAGCTGAGTCCAAAGTGTGTGCCAGTCCCCGGCGTTGTGAAGGGCATGTCCAGACAACTACTGCGAGGCTGACTGATAAAGGCCGGTGTCCTGGACATGCTGTACTCCGCTACTGATAATTGCGCTTTGTCCGGCTTATATTCACTCCTCTCATTTGGAGCTTTAATTCGACGAACCCTGGTTGCCGTCCTGTGTTCATTTGTCTTGAGCCGTTTCCAGACGAGCAGCATCGGCAGCTCGTGGTAGGATTCTCCATAATGACTGCATCCGCAAACAACAGCCCATCGTTCCTTTTTTGGTTGCATACAAAGATATGACGCTCACTTTCTATCCCCTTTCCCCCAGTCAACCTCTCTGCCTAGTCTTTATTTACCTGTCCCTCCAATAACTAACACGAGCACACAACACAATAACTAACTCTTCACAATTACTTGGCAATCTGTCTTTGGTGAAAATATTTGCACTTTTTTTATCCCAACACGTCATCTCCAGAGTTAAAATGATTCCTAAATGATTTATTCTTAACCACTCCTGCCAGTAGTATTATTACCAATGGAGCACTTTATCAGTATTTTACGTCCTTCCTGCAGTTCCTTCTCATGAACTCAAGTGAAGTTGATAGGTAAGACAGGTTGAATTTTCAAGGAAGCAATCTGGGGAAACTATTTGCGCTTTTTTTCTTAAAATAATTTAAAGGACATTCATGAACTGAGACTTAACAGCAAGCAAATGAGAGGCTTTAAATGTTAACTTTTTTATTCTTACATTTCATATATATTTGATCAGCATAATGTGGTTAATGCATAGTTGTTTAGCCAACCTATATTGGAATTGTGTAGCTGATATCTTACGGGTAGTTAACCACGTGACATGAGTTGCCATATTCAAGAAACTTTAGACCAAAGAGCCATTTGTAGTTTTCAAGCGGGTCTTTTGAGAGCTAATCAGAGACTACTTTGTTACGTTATTGGCTGCTATTTTAATCTGACGGTAACGAAGACCATTTAAGACGTCTAAGCGTTTTTCAGAAAAATGCAAGCCACTTTGGGGTGGAATCAGTGAAGTATTTCTAATCTGTTCATGCCATTAACTGTTTTCATCACTTTTGTGATTGGACCAGTTTTCCAATCCACGATGTGGTGAAGAAATTTCACTCTTCATTCATTATGTTTGAAACCTCCTAAATCTCAGTAGACACTCTGATAAATTTCCCCAAACCAAGCCAAGCAAATCAAGTTAGAAAACAGGGCTGTATTTTTTGTTACTTGCTTTTGGTGGATTTTGAGAGGCCTAAAATTTCCATGGAGCTTAAAATACTTACTGAATAAAAACTCGAAATGTAATTAAAATCTGTGCAACATAAATTTCTTTAATGGTTAATGGAACCTCCCCCCATTTTGACATTAAAATTCATTTCGAGGTATGGATAAAATTAAAACTGTGATATCCAATGCAGGCATCTTCGGGGCAATGGACTATCAGAAAATTAAATCTAGTCAGATGCTATTGCAGTTTTATTAATGATGTGCTGCAGTACTTGAATTCAGCTTTTGACCAGTTGGAGCATTGCAGTATCACTAGATCCCCAAATACCTTGTGGGTGATAATTAGTCATTACTGCTCCTACAGTTATTTATTTCACTAAATTGAGACGGCAATTCATAATTTCTTTATTATGACAGTTATTATCTATTACGTTGTCCTTCTATGTGGTAAAGAATGAGATTTTATGGAACATTAAGCTTCCATCTGATAGCGCTACACTGACTCTGTTTCTTCATCTCCCTTACATTCCGTCTGCAATCTCATAGGTCAGTTAATTGCAAGATATTAATACTAGTATTATGACTGCCACTGCAGCTAATATGTTTTCTTAGCCATTTCAATATGTTGAATTATGCTTTACCAATAAAAAATGACATTTGAGCCAATGTGCAGAGTCCTCTCTAATATAGTCTGCTATAAGAAAGGTAGTATTTGTTGAAGCTGGCAGAGGCACAGGCTGTGTTTTTGTTTATAAATAGCTCCAGCCAGAATTATTCCACTTGCAGTCGTCCCATAATCATCAATCACTCTTGCGCGCAGCCCGGCTTCTACTCACCAGAGAGAAAGGTGCGCGCTGTAAGCTGTGCCCTTGCACCTCCAACTGGGCAAGTACATAAAGTAGAGCCTGGTGAGCGGAACATAGCTTGTCGTGGGGGGTGGGGGAGGGGGTGATCTGTCCGGTGAAGAGTGAGTTACAGCACCTTCACCCCGGCTGTTCAACACACACACCTCCTCCGGATCATCACACGGGTTAAGATTCCCGTTTTTTTATTTGTCAGAAAACATTGCTAAAACCGCCCACGCAAGCATACACCACCTCTGCATGCGTGATCTGCTGCAGGTGGGAGGTTCAGCGCGCAATGTGCTAGGGTGATACAGGATGGGTCAAACACAACTGTTTGCTCAAGTTTCATTTGTCTCTCCGTCTCTCTTTCTGCCATCATCGCCTTCTCTGGAGGAGCTTTGCGGGAAAAGCGCAAAATCCTAAGATCGTAAAAGGAGGATCAGGTCCATTTTGTCGTCACACACACACACGAATCTGATTATCAGCTACCACACACAAGTTTGTTGAGTGGCGTGAATGAGCGCATGATATCTCTCCACACACACACACATGCGTGCACATCTCCCAGTGTTACCATGGCAGTTGCAATAATACAGTAGGAATCCAGCTCATCCTTAACAAAATGATTGTATAACTATTGCGGCATCAAGTCGTGTATCTTATCACGGCCTCCTTGTGTTTTTCCTTTCGGCTCACCTCTGCTTCTTTTCAACAGCCCTTCACATCGGCTTTACCTCCCATAAGACACCGCATTTGCATTGGGCGATAAGCAATTGTTTGATTGGAAAAGGAAGACAGCCTTGCTGTGGTGGTAATCAACAAAACCCTCCTGCTACCGAACACAAAAGTGAGATCCCATCACTTTCAAATCTTAATCAAAATCTCCACGCTGCACGAAATCATTTTAGACTCATTAAACGCAGCCTACTTGAAAAGCGCACCCACATGCTCTCCTTTTCTCCGTCTCTCCACCCCCCCTGCCCCTTTCTCCCTTCTACACCCACCCTTAGAAGCCTGATACGTGTAAGCTTTTGAACCTCACCTCCCGGAGTTCCTTGGCCACATCCTTGAGCTCTTTGAGTATGCCGTCCAACTGGTCGATCACCATCTTCATGTGGCTGCGGATGCGTTCTCTCGGGCTGGGGGTCTCAGAGGTGTCCCGGGCCGGAGCTCTGCTGAGGGACATCCTTTACAGGGCGGCGTGGGGCCAGTGGCCAACAGGCTGAGGGCGTGGGGGAGCCGAGTCGGGGTCCATGTCTTTGGCTGCAAGGAGCCTCAGTGCTACTGATCCGAACAGGGGCCCCGGCCACGCAGGGAGACCTCAACATCTTAAAAGCACCCGGGCAGCAAAAACACCTCGCCTCGCTCGCACACTCGGCCCAGGGTCACACTCTGACATCCATGCCCTCTGGTAGATGCTTCCAGGAACGGAGAGAGAACCAGCACGGGAAAAGTCAAACACTGTATATCCATGGAAAAGGAAGAGGCAAAATACATGGGCTATGAAACTCTTACATAATCGTGTTGAGCCAACTCATCGCATGTGTCAGTGTGTACGTTTGAAAGTGTTCCCAAGGAGATGCTATTTAAAACGGCTGTCTATACAGGGAATACACTTTTTCCCCTCTTCCACTTGTCCTGTACAACCTTTCTTACTTGTGAAACACAGACATAATGGCAGGCCAACATACAAAAGAAAATCATCAAAGGGGTCCATATTAAGACTTTTCTATAGAGAAAGCTATTCAACGTCTGTAGAAAAATAGAACTCGGCTTGATTTTCCAAATGATCGTGTTCTACATATTTTTGTTGGCCGGCGGGGACAAGATTTGATCTAAATATAGTCCTTCAGTGAGGGCTTCTGTCTTTTGAGAGAACGGACAGATCCTATTTGGAAAAAGGGGATATTCCTCTCTGCCGTGTGGCGTTTTCCCCTCGAGGGAAAAAAATATATAAAAGAATTTCTGTAGAAACTCGCGTCAAAATAAACTTGGCTTCACATCCCTTTTCTTTGCAGATGATGACTTAATCATGTTTTCCTGTCCGTGAAAGGGAGGACGGCAGGTGTGGGTCTTTTCAAAGAGCGTCCAATCCCCACCTCAGCGCCCCCCCCCCACCCCAAAGCAGGGCTTATTCCAGGTGGCTCGGGATCAGGATGAATTGATTTCCAAGCCGGCGAAACGTGACCCCTGATGAGAATTTGTGGAGGGATAACAAAAAAATCATGGTGTCGATGAGACACAGTTTAAAAAGGAGGCTGGAAGGAGAAGCGAGCACCTTTTTTTCCTGGAATTTGGGTGGCAGCTTGTCTTATGCAACGGCGCTCTCTAAGTCCTCTCAGAACACACTGACCCACAGCAGTCCTCCGGGGTGTGCCCAAAAACCAAGGGAGCACAAACAGAGAAGGATTCTCTTCTCTCCTTCAGTTGTTGCTAAGGGAACCTGGTCTGCCTTCTTGTGCTGTGATTGGATAATTATTTTACTTCTTCTCCGTGTAGTGTGTATCTTCTCTCTGGACTTTTTTCCTCAGAGAGGCAGAGAGCTCAGTGCCATCCAGCAGGAAAAGAGATAAATCCCACGAATGCTTCCCGGAGGAGCGCTGGAGAACAAGCAGCGGGGAGAGCTTCTCGCCAAATCCAGGGCGATGCCACGTCCACGGGGTGCGCTGGCCAATCGCACATGGCACCTGGACAGAGGAAAAGAAAACCAATCACTTATTCTCATAGTCTTATCACACCTTTCTCCACATTCGTCGATCTCCCTCCAAGTCACGTCAGTGTGAAAAGGCAACCGACAATAGAGTGAAGGAGACTCAGAGCGGGAAAGGAATTAACTGAAATGGGGATTTTTAGCTGCTGTCAAAATGAATCTCCTGCTTCAGCAGCACTTGTCTCACCTCCCCACACACACACACACACACACACGCACGCGCACCAGGATACACACCTACACACCTTTCCAGTGCATCACTTTGCTGTTGCTATGCCCAGAGCTTACTGTCCACGCACAGCAGGATCATTTAAGCCACACACAAACCTGCTGGTTCTTCAGCAGTCCCTCTGTCGCACCCACTAACATCTTCACTGTCCCCTCTTCGCTCTTTTTCTCCTTGTTCCACACTCTCACTCACACAGACACTCGCACTTATCGCCCTCTCTCCTACTTACTGTCTTGACAGAGAAAAAAAGCTCCTACCAGCAGGGTTATTTCACTCTAAAGCTGTGGCTCATCAGAGGAGGAGTAGAAGTGGAGGATGAAGCTGTGGAGGAGGAGGAGGAGGTGGAGGCAGGAGGCATGAGATGGGAACGATTAATGGCCCTAACAGCACTCTGAGAATGGAGAGAGGACGCTGAGGATGACTAAGAGCCAGAGCGGAGAGGAGAGGTCCTGCTTCCGTTTGTGATGCTGCCGCCGCTGTTACCGTTACTCGGATAACACGCCACCCGTCAGCGTTCGCCTGCGCCGGGATGGCAGCAGATGTGAAAAAGAAGCTGTGTGACTAGAGCCTCTCCCTCTCTGCCTGTTCGTCACCCTCTCTCTCTCTCTCTCTCTCTGTCTCTCTCTCCCCCTCCCTCCCTCACCTTTCTGTAACTCTGGCTCTCTCTTCCTCCGTCCCCGTCTCTCTGCCCCTGCGCCCCTCACTGTGTCCTCACTGACTGTTGGGTGAAGGGAAGCTGATGCCAGAGTTTATCGTGGGGGTTCGCGCTCCGACCAGCACCACTCGGCTGTTCTGCTCCGCTCTGTGCAGGAGGAGCTTGGTGCTTTTAAAGGCACAGTGCATCACACAGTCCCCCTCCTCAGCTTCGCTGCTCTCCTGCCGTCTCCTCTCTGCTGGCGTCTACAACCCCTCCTCCCTCCCACCACCCCACGCTATCTCCTCTCACGCTGTCCATCTAGCCTTTGTCACAGTTCTATCGAGGGTGTTGCATCGCTCTTAAATCAAGATGAAGTCTTCCTCTGCCTCCAGCCGAGCAGTCTCCTGGGAAGAGGTGTCCAACAATCGCCGGCTGTTACATCATTAATATCCAAGGCAGGTTGGGGTTTGATGACCTCATCTGACTGAGGGACAGAAATAGGGAGGGAGAACCAGCTTGACTTTTTCTTTCCCCAGTCCTCATCAGCGTTTTTTTTTTCTCAACACTAAAAAGCCCTGCGAAACCCCACCAGAGGCAGTTACCCTAATATGAAATTAGCTCTCCGAAGGAAATAATGTAACAGCGAAGCAAATTCATAGAAGCAACTTCTTGAGCAATGCCGGGTTTTGGCAGATAACTGTACTGAAAAGCCAGAGGCTGCATGCATTCCTTAACATAATTGTTTTACGAAAAATGCAGAGTGGATTCAGGTCAGGTGAATCCTCCATACAGATGATTTTTTTTCTGTGGTCCTCTATGGTTTTTGCCACTAGCATCACAATAATTATGTTAATGCTCTTTGAGTGAGCATGCTGCAGTTTATGTTATCCAGTATGATGAATAGTCAAGCTTGGCTATTAAGGAATATATGAATGATATGCTTCATTTTCAATAGTAACCATTTCTAAGTACACAGTCACTGTTGGGACTAATAAATAAATAAATAATTGAAATGTTCAATATGCTGTCACATTCCAAAGCACGTGGTGGCTCTGTGAGCACATGCCGAACTGCAATGGGATTTTGTGCCTTTCCTTGTATCTACACATGGCTGCTCCAGTTTGCACAGCCGAGATGCTGCTCAGAAACGGCTCCCTGCAAGAAACAGGTGTCCTTGAGCAGTTTGCTTTGTAGCCTCGCTGCTTCCACTATCTGCACATATGGGAGGCTACCTTCTTAGAACACAGCGACAGCTCCCGGCACATTTTTCGTTCTTGCCATTGTTTCCCTTTTTCTTCACATTGCAAAATACCGTTTTGCTTGGAGATTTATGGTGTTTTATAGAGCTGTCCCTAAAATAGGGAATGTATATTAAGTGACCTCTTGGCAGAAAGGCCCAGGTGCATAGCACAGATAGCGGCTTGTCAGTGATGCCTTCATTGAAAGGGAATTGGATTATTTCTCCCTCTAAAATATATATTTCTTTAATGCTATTCCAACCAGTGATTTTTACTTGGAACTAAAGAACAAAGCTTTTATTTGACTTGAATTGGTTTCCCAATAAGCGATTTATACTCTTTACTTCAAACAGTAGGGATCTGTCTTATTATCATTTATTTTCTTGTCAACCTTTCCCACACTGTCAATTGGATATCTAATAGACTAGACCTGGCTGTTGCAAACGCTAGATTACATTACACAGACAAAAAAAAGAACATTTAAAGGCATTTTTTAAAGCAGCAAGTCTGCGCTCAAAGTGGTTGCTCAACCTTAAAAATACAAATAATTTCAAGTGTAGAATTAAGTTAAAACTCCATTTAGCTTTTCAATACAAAACTGAATTTTGTCTGAAACATATTTAAGAATCAGCTCCTTTCAATGGAAGTTACAGTTAACGTTGAAAAAGTAGACATGGTGGGCCATGTTATGCCAATGTAATGACTGGCCTTTGATTCTGGATGTCTTTGACATCTCTAGAAGATCTCTTGTAGTTTGTCTTATAAAAAGGATGGAGCCAATCCCCAATGACATATTTGAAGAAAATTATTTAAATAAGTTATTAAATATTATAACTATTTTAAAATGTTTTCAATTTAAAGTGTGAATGGTTTCAATTGTTTAATTTCAGAAGTTGTCTTTCCACCTACAGGTAAGTTTTTCATTTTGTAGTGAAGAATCTGTGCCGGACAATATTTCCTTCCACCTTGAAGAGTAAATAACACCCCTTCAGCAGCAATACATCACCCTCTCCTCTCCACTGATGAGCCCTCAATACCCCGGATTTAAAAAGCTGCGAACACACTGTTTCGCTGGTTTTTATGGGGGATTTTGCTCTCAAAACAAAACCACGTTCATCAGCTGACCTAGATTAGTCAACTTCAAGGTTGAAATCATTTGCCTAAATGTCTTACAGATATTCATACAGTGTGCATAATTGATTTAGCCGTACTTATTACTTAATGTCCTCTTCCCTTCGGACAAGAGGTCAGTGACTGATTTGAACGTGACTTAGAGGAAGGCGAAACAGACAAAGAAGCAATGCTCCATTTGCAGGTTTTGCACCTAAAAAAAAAAAAAAAAAAAAACGGTTACAAATTTAAATTAGATTTAAATTGTTTTGACAATTAAAGCTTTCATTGTCAAATAAACAACAGTAATCCTGAATTGTTTAGATCCAAAAGGTAATTTCCCTGGAGTACATAGATATTTTGTGAACAGACAAAAAAAGGAGGCACAACATTTTTCCCACTTTGTTGAGAAACAAATTACCATTCCAGGATTGTTCCTTTAATTATGCGTCTCCTCTCCTGGCCATTGCGTGGCACTGTGGTGCAGTTGTGATGTGATGCTTTCCCTCTGCTCTGACTGAGGATAAAATGGTGGACAGGCCTAAAAGTTTCATCTTCTTTGTTTTTCTACTAATCCACTGAAATATTACGTCTTTCTTGACATGACAATTGTGTGTTTGAAATCGCACAATAACATGGTGCAGAACCAAAAGGCACATTCAACAAATATTCAGTATTAAACCAAGAGATCTTTGGATTGTAAATTCATGTCTGGCATCATGTATTTATAAGTATGTGTGGCGAAATTATGTCCACTGATAAAATTCATTCCCACTGAAAGGCTTAAGTATTTTTATACGTAATCTCTCCCATCATAATTCCATGCTTGGATGTTTGGATTTATGACGATGGTTTATGGACCAAAGGATTTGAAAGACACATCTGGCATGTGCAATATGCTCGGCCAAATGTAGATATCATGCCTGGTTTACAATTCCCAGTTGTGCTTGATATCACACAAACACTAAGGGACAGAGATCCCAGAGGCCCAGCCGGTCTCACAATAACACCAGTCTCTTCTCTTGCCTGTCTACTGACCTTTTGATATTTCAGTCTTGTGCTTGTATTTGTCTGTGTTTTTTTTCTTTCTTTCTGCAGTCAAGCAGAGGAGCGGCGGCTGTTTTAGACCATAGCACCCCGTGATGGATCAGTGCTCTTACACAATGAAATGAAGCCTAAGTGTTTGATTGATTTCTCATTTACTTTCCTCACCAGTGGTAGAAATATGGGCAGTGCTTAGAGCTGAACTGGAGCCCCAAGTCACAGAGGGACTGTGGTCCCATTGTGAAGAGTGGTCCTGTGTCATATTCAAGACATGTTTTTGAGCGGAAAATGACTCAATAGTTCTCAGTCTCCTTATTGCGGATCAATGCTCGCCTCTTTAATTAGAGTATGACGTGCTTGGCTACCCTGTAGCTAAAAGCTAACGATAAAAGTTTGCTGCAGTTTTGTACATGTATAATGAAACTCATAACTGATAAATCTCTAACTGCGTAGATGGGAGGGAGGTGCGAGATGCTTCAGGGCAGTTGGCTTTGCAAAACAAAATTTGGAAATGTAGCGCAGAGTGATTAATTAAGGCTAATTTAAAAATGCTTTCGGCAGGGCTAGGGGATCTAAATTATCTGACCAGTGTGGTCATATTAGGACATTCTGGCAGGGGACACATAACAAAGACATTGTAGCAATGTAGTATTTTACGATTTTTCCCCAATATTGAAGTGTCAGGGTGCTGTGCCACTTTTTAGGATATGCACCCAAGCAGAGAAAAGAAGTTGGCTAATAAATGGTACACGTTGCTTACCGTGATTAATATCGGCAATCCATTTTAGTTGGGTTATTTTGCTTGATAAATTGTTCAACAAAAAGGTGAAAAAACACTTTCAGGTTTTTCATGATGGTCTAAAAAGTAAACTTTAGACCTGGATATTAAACTATGACGAGAATGAAAGAAAAATGATTATCGTTTTGTTGCATTCATTTTAGGCTCCATTGATAGACTTATTAGCAATGATTATGGTTCTGTAAGAGCTGCTAAGTACTTATTTTTTTTAAAGCAGAAAAGTGCTTGTCCTCGCAGTATGAAAGGTGATAGAACTTGCAACATCCATTATACATTATGTTAAAGCAAGATCCATATTTTAATCAGATAGACAAAAGGGGACTTACAATAAGTGCAGATGGTAGCCCCATAGTTTTATTTTGGTAAAGTGTAAACTTAGTTCAATCAAGAGTTTGTTCAACATCATGCCGATAGCCAAAGTTTAGATTATTCATAGACATCTCCATCGCTTCTATGGAGACCTTGTTAACTCCTGTGGGTCAGCAGTCATGTGGATAACAGCCAAACAAGGTCTACCATTTTGAAACACGTAAATTATATTTGAGTCCATTTTGCAGCTCAGGTCACAAGATGATAATAATAATAATAATAATAATACACAAAAACACTTTTTGCTGGTTTGTGGGTTCGAAAACAGTTGCTAATTTGCAGGTGCAACTATCATCCCCACTCTGCTCAACAAAAAGCACAGTGTACCCAACTCTGCATTGAGAGGTGCCCACTGTCACTGCTCATGTAAAACTGGCACCAAATGTGAATGTCACTCAAAAATGATCTCAATATTCATGCAGGCCAGGGG